TTATTTGCTGTTGTTCATTTAGGTATCAGTTTAATTCCGCTATTAGGGTTTTACTCAAGTCTGTCTGGTAATTACTACATTTAAAAATAAAGAGTTAGGACTGTGCATGTGCTTCCACTAGTGGTGTGTGCGCGCTCTTCCACTAGCTGAGTTTAAATGCCTGACTGGCACAAACGGGGCACTTTGGCCATGACGACCTTACTCATGACTGGCACAAACGGGGCACTTCGGCACTTAAAGGTTAAGTTTCTAAGTTTCATTTTTTGCAACATTATTTGAGCCTCCCCATAGTATCACCATATCATCCCTAGTCAGGGAATTAACTTCCTGTTACATACATAAATGCATACGTGGTGTGTTCAAAAAGTATTGAACCTTCTTTTTTTCCCACTTAAATCAATGAAGCGCTTGAGACTCCCTTCGGTGGAGATGTGGAGGGGACATTCATGCGCAGTCATGAATTTTTTCACGCCCGCAGAAAGCGTCAGTCGCTGGCAGTTGGCCTATGAGTGAGGACGTGTAGTGAGCGCTTGTCGGATTCCAGTAAGGTGTAAAATGACGGGACAACATGAGCAGCGATATTGCATCAAATTTTGCCAAAAGCTTGGCGATACCCAAGTGGAAACCATTCGCAAGATTCAACAGGCTTTCGGGGACGATGCCATGAGCAACTCACGGATAAAGGAGTGGTACAGCCACTTCAAAGGTGGCCGCACATCAGTGGACAGCGAACCGCGTTCAGGCAGACCCTCAACAAGCTGAAATGAGAATGTCATTGAGCAAGTGCAGACTTTGGTCATGGAGGACCGTCGTATCACAGTCTGAGAACTTGTGAATGAGATAGGGGGTAAGCATTGGATCAATACATTCAATTTTGACCGAGGATTTGGGCATGAGGAGGGTGTCCGCGAAATTTGCACCGAAACTGCTAACAATGGAGCAGAAGCAACACCTTCTGGAAATTGCACAGGACATGCTGGACAATGCAAATAGTAACCCAAACTTTCAGAACACCGTGATCACAGGCGATGAGTCGTTGGTTTATGGGTACGACCCGGAAACCAAGATGAAGTCGTCACATTGGAGACATCCGACATCCCCGAGGCCAAAAAAAGCATGGCAGGTCCACTGCAATGTCAAGGTCATGTTGGCCGTTTTCTTCGACTCCCGTGGGGTTATGCATCATGAGTATGCACCACAAGGCCAAACCATCACAAAGGAATACAACCAGGAGGTCCTTCACAGCCTTCATGATGCTGTGCGGCGCAAACGACTAGATCTGTGGGCAGAAAAAACTTGGCAGCTCCATCATGATAACGCACCCGCCCATTCTGCACATCTGATTCAGACTTTCGTCGCCAAACATAACATCCCTGCGGTTCGTCAGGCTCCCTACTCCCCTGACATGGCTCCGTGTGACTTTTGGCTATTTCCCAAGCTGAAAATGCCGCTGAAAGGAACCCGATTTGAGTCAAGAGAAGACATCATGCGGAATGTGATGGCCCGGTTGATCACCATTCCAAAAGACGTGTTCCAGAAGTGTTTCCAACAATGGCGGAAGCGCTGGGAGAAGTGTGTGCATTACCAAGGAGACTACTTTGAAGAGGATTAGGGTTTTGTACCTCCAAATCAATAAATGTATTTCTGCCGACCAGAGGTTTGATACTTTTTGAACACACCACGTACATATACATTTGCGTTTCTTTAGAATATTCATAAATGTGCCACCGGCACCGAATATAAAACATGTCAACAAGCACAGTTGCACAGTATTTTGTATTCTTGCTCCTGGCATCACCATGCCCATAACCTCAAATTTCCTGTCCACTTGGTTCAATATTTCGGACACATATCCTTTTATATGACTGTCCCCCATTAAAATGAATTTATTTTCCCCTAATTCCTTTTTATTTCTAGCTCTCTGTTTAATATTTACTCCTTGTAACTGCTTCTGTCGATCACAGTCGCTGGTTATTTCACTGAGCACTGCAAACTGTTTTACAGTTGTAGTTATTTGTTGTGTTTTACCTGCATCATTCCGCTTGTTACTTTTCCATTTCTTGTTGTCTTTTACTATCTTCCATTCATTACTTATATTTCCATTCATATTGTACCGATCTGCATTCGTATGATCTCGAGTTGTACTTATGTTAGCATACGCTGTATCAGATCCATATCTTTCTTTAATAACTTTATTATCTCATTAGCCAAGCTAAGGTCTTGGCATACTTCTGTTCCAAGATTCAAGCATTGTATACAATTCTTATTCGTATTCCACTTGCCCATTAAAACATTATTTTCAAGCAACCCTTCATACACTGCTACACCACTCATACATACATACATACATACATGAATGTTCATAATAATTAGATGCAGAGATCTAGGATGCAGCAGTTTATGGATGCTATGCCAGTCTGTCTTCCAAGAATCCCTCCCCTCAGTTAGAAATATCTTGCACAGTATCTTCTTAAGCTAAATAACTTGCCAACTCAGAAACGAAAACTTCTGAGTTACTATCTTAATTGATGTCAACATAACGTTTCTAGAACAAGTACTTTCATTGAAGAAATCCTGCAATTAATGGGCACACAGTGACTCACAGAATTGTTGTTATTCTTTCTCTTAGCTTTCCTGTAAGACATACAGAGAGTATGGGTTACGGTAAGGTGAATATGAATGAATTCAGTATTTTCCTATCATTTATGCCCATGTCTCCCAAACGGTCTCTTGAATTAAGGTTATCCAATAAAAGCTTTGTATGCATTTCTATGTTCGCCTATTCATACTACATCCCACCTATTTCATCCTTGATTTAATTATCCTAATAATATTAGGGGAATGTTAAGAACTGTGAAGCTCCTCATAGTGTTTCTTTACTCTGTTGTGTGTTGTCTAGATGGGAAGGTAGGGGAAGGAAGAGAAAGAGAAAGAGGACAAATTACTGTTCACCTACTTCTGCAGCTCAGATCCAGGGTCATTCAACATTCTTTTCCTCATAACAAATTTTTACACCTACATGAAATATTATGCGAGTTTTTAATTACATTAAATTTGCCAGTGTACTTCTAATTTTTTATTGTTTTACTGCAGGTCATGGAGGAGGCTGGGGCTATTCTGGACATTCCATAGAAGCAATTAGATTCATGGCAGATACTGACATCCTTCTAGGAGGTTTTGGCCTTTTTGGAGGTCGTGGAGAGTACACAGGGAAAATTAAGGTGCCTGCTGATAAGATTTCTATATTTAAGCTTTGTTTAACTGAAAATTCTTTTACTTCAGGGGTTTTGTGGACCTTGGTTTATATATAATCCATTGAAAATATATTTAAATATAAATAACAAGAGATTGGTTTATGTCCTAATTAATATGTGAATGTATCAGGAGATATCAGACAATATGCACATACTTACCTTGTCACTTTCTTTTCAGAAGAACCAAAGGATTGATCTTTATTAATTTAAAACTCGATATGGAACCTAGACTTTTGATATCTTCCGCTTTGATTTAATTGGGTTTAGCTGTATGGTATCTTCAGATCTGAAATGATCTGTAAAATCATGAGCATAAATATGAAGAGGTATACACTTTATAATTACATTTTATACATGTAAGACCAAGAAGAACATGGCCCAATGTTTAAGGATGGAATGGGCTGACAAGCTCAACCCTTGCAGATGCTGATGGTGACAACCCTTTTTTCATAAGGCTTATTGGTTTCTGGGATAATTAAACAAATTGGTCACAGTGGGTACATTCAGAATTCTGTATTCAACAGTAACCATAGCCTCATCATCACAACAAAAATTTGGATTGTCTTTGCATCTTTTCCCCTTCATTAGTACTGATAATTTTGAGTATACAGTGTGTTCAATTTGTATGTTATTGGGGTTTTCTGCACACTCCCTCTTTCACTATATCAAATGCTGTGATGTCTTCTGTGCATTAGATTATAACTTTACACTTCTTATGCTGTCAGAAAAATGCTACCATCACTTTAACTTTCTCTTTGTATATAGAAGCTTCCATCACACAAGAATTTTGAATATGGTGCAGACCCATTAGAGAATTTTTTTTTAAATTATGGCAGCTGAAACATGTCCTTTTTCAGTTGTTTGACATTGGTGTTGATGGCGGAGAGCAGGAAACTGATGGAGAGATGCTGGCAGAGACTGAGGAAGTTCCATATGAGTGTGGACCTCGTCAGAAGTATCCAATGCTGTTTGAGGAACCTGTACCTTTACAGGTGAGTGACAGTTTTAGTAGCATTTTGGTTTAAAGTGTTCTTTTTCTTTAAATAAATAATATTTTTTTTTTATGAATAGTAAGTTTGTGAATTCCTACTATTAGGCAGAATGGAATTGTTTTGTATGGGTATGTGCCATGGTCTCTTACTGTAAGGGAAGTACTTAGATTGTATTTGGAAACATAGCAGTCAGGAAAACATTTGAACATAAGAAAAATAAAAATTTAGTATATTACATAATTGGGAACATAGTGAATTGTAGAAAATCATGATGGACTCAGCATATGGCTAATCTGGGGGTAAAAAGGACAGCATACAGAAGTTTGATGAGGAAACTACAGTATGTGCCAAAAATGTAGTACTGAAACTCGCGCATCTCGAACAGGCATGTGCATTTGTCGACGAGGCATAGCTCCAGCCGCATGTGTTCCCAGTAGTGAAAAGGAAGTTGTATTGTGCAATTGTTGAAAATGGGTCTCTTGACGGAGGAAGAAGTATTCATATTTGAGTATTATTTCCGCTCGTACAGAAGTGGTCATGAAGGGGGACCAAGTTTGAAAAAGGTGACAGAACAATTCCAAGAGAGATTTAATAAGACGGCACCAAGTAACACAGTTATGCTGTCTATTGTTATGAAATTTCGCTGTTCTGGTAGTTTACTATGTCAACGGAAGGGGAAGTCTGGTCGACCAGTAACTGTTTCGACAGAAGAGAATGAGGAAGACAGTGCTCTTACCATCACCCAAGAACACTACAGGGACATGGTGATTGGACCATTTCTTCAGGATTTGAGAAGGTTCTGTCATGCAAGGGGCCTTCACATGAATAGACAGTGGTATCAACAGGACAGGGAAACCAGCCATACCGCTCGAGAAGTTCTAGCCATGCTGCAGGAAAACTTTCCAGGACGAATCATTTCACATGGTACTTACTTCCCATACCCGTCCCATTCCCCTGATCTTATACCACCTGATGTCTACTTGTGGGGAATGTTAAAGGAGAGTTTGTTCAACTATGAAGATCCGCCAAGAACTGTACCCCTGATCTTACACAACCTGATGCATACTTATGGGGAATGTTAAAGGAGAGCGTGTTCAACTGTGAAGATCCGCCAAGAACTGTGCCTGCATTATGCAGGCAAATCGTCTCCTTTTGCAGGAGTCTGCAGCAATTTTTGTTCTGGGATATGATTGAGAATCTGCATGAACGATATGAACACTGTCTACAGTGAAGCGGTGCACACTTCAAAAACTTGCATTACAAATACCATGGTAAATCAACATGCTAATAGTGTGTATGTTAGTTTCTTTCACGAAAAATAAACTCACAGATGACAACGAGGTAATATTGTTCATCTTTTCATTTCAGTACTGAATATTTTGGCACATACTGTATTTGGAAGATAGAGAAAGAGATTTGAGTATAACATTGAGATGTATCTTAAGGTTCTTGGTTGTGAGGATGAGGGATAAATGGAGCTGGCTCTGGTAGACATAATGACAATTTGAACCTCTGGGTTTTGTTACAATTTAATATATGGAAGAAACACAGTGGACCAGGCCATTCTGCTTGCAGACAAATTACAGAGTTCTTGTTTGTTTGATTTGTTTTCGTTCTGTTTATTAAAAGATTATGGCACATGTCTAAATCTGATTTGAAATTTGCACCATACTCTGAAGATTTAAGAGGGAGTGAAGGTTCTTGATATCGAGAGGGCATTGAGGTCAGATTTCAGCTTCATATTCTGGCTGCTTTACCTTAAGGGACAGATTCCCTTGTAGCCATAATTTCTCTTTTCTGTTTCTGTTATTCTGTAGGCAAACAGATGGTATGTTGCTTGGGCTAGAGTGAGTGGTCCATCAAGTGACTGTGGCTCCAGCGGACAGGGCATGGTTACTACTGAAGACCAGTAAGTTTCTTTTTATTTATATTCCATACTAGCTGTACCCGGTCACGCGTTGCTGTGGCAGATTGAGTGAATTCAAAAATTTTGTTGGATAATTAACTGCTTCATCTGCTTCCACAACAGTGTCGACGGACTGCTATGTGACTGCCTCACAGTGAATGTTAGACTGAATGATATTGTTAAGTTCATAGACGTCTTTGTTCTTGGCCACAAGAATAGCTCGTTCACTCAGCCAATCGTGATTCTTATAATTGGTTTGAATTGGGAAATTCTTTTTCAACCAATTCTTCTTTTGATGTCACTAAATTGCAGAAGTTATGAGGCAATGAAATTCGTCCTGAGGTCAGATCAACCGGCACCTTTCCGTTCCCAATTTCCAGCAATTGATGCGAGAATATCTCAGCTGATCGATCGTTTTGCAGCTGGACACACATATTTGTAGTTAATTTTAACGTCTTTATGTGATGCCACAAAGTAGAGTATTTCAGGCAAACATTTATTTCGTCCGCTGTTGTTGATCGAGGAATTACAGGTAATGTTTGCCTGAAATCTCCTGCAAGCAATATTAATGCTTTCCCAAATGGTCTGATGTTTCCACACCAATCTTGCAATGATTGATGAAGAGCCTCGAGCGATTTTTTGTGCGCATTGTGCATTCATCCAAAACAATAAATTTGCATTTCTGCAATACCCTTCCCATGCCTGATGCTTTGGAAATGTTGCACGTGGGAGTTTCAATGAATTGCATGTTCAATGGCAATTTCAAAGCAGAATGAGCAGCTCTTCCACCTGGTAGCAATGTCACAGCTATTCCGGACGACACAAGAGCTAAGGCTATGTCATTTTGGGATCGAATTGCTGCCAGAATCAATCTAATTAGGAACGTTTTACCAGTTCCTCCTGGCGCATCTAAGAAGAAGAATTCTGCGACCCCGTTATTGACAGTTTGCATTATTTGATCGTAAATGCCTTATTGCTCAAGCCTTAGCTTAGGAATATTTGATTGCACATACGACATAAGATCACCCGTGTTGTAATTTTGTTCATGACGCAATTCTACATTGAATGAAGCAGCAGCAGATCAGTTCGGTGATGGCATTCCCAATTGATTGAGAACTTTGTTCGCGATTTCTAAGCACAAATCTTCAATCATTATCAACGCTTCGTTGCAGATTTCTGCTGTGAAATCCATGTTCATATTGGAATTTTCCTTGCGTATTCGACAGAAAATATCTTCAGTCATGTGCGATTTATATTTCTCCCATAACTCTGTTGGAGATGAAGGAGAGCAGGCGGTCAATATGATTGCAAACAATGCACGAATTTGATGTGGATGTGACGTGTTGCACGCGTCAGTAATGCATGTAGCGTGTTTGGGTATGTCACGCTACAAATAACTTTATGCCGTATTAATTATAGCAAATCTTTATTGTAATTCACTTGCACACTTTACAATTATCACCACTTGCAGTATTAGAGTTACTGGTTACACAATCTCTCGCCCAATACTTCTGTATCTCTTGGCGTCTAGGTTCCAACCTTCTTCAGTGGCAGCTATTCCAAGGCTGACTGGGCAAATGAATTCAGCCCCCTTTTATACAGTCGGCCGCTGCTATGCAAATGAGCCTTTGTCATAACCGCGGAAACGCTGCTTTGTTGATTCCACGATTCCTACGCAATGACCCATTGTTATTGCATTGTCTCTGTGGGAACACTCCATGTATTCGTCATAACCGTGGAGATTCAATACAGTATTGCTATTGTTACTTCCTATGCAACGGTCTGTTCTAGTGTTTCCATAGGGGTGACTCTTCTGAATTCCAAATTCCAATTCTGTTTTTCAAAAGAAGCATGTTTTTACCTGTCACAGGTGTGACATCTATATAATAGGTATATAAAAACACGTGCACATTCGAATGCAACGTTGTGTCAACATTTCGAAGCAATCGGTGAAGAACTTTCAGAGATTTAGGATCCTGAACAAATTAACATTTACATTTTTATTTATATAGATATTGATATTAAAAACTTTTGATGAATGGGAACAAAGTTGATATTACATTTGCATTCCTTTTATAGAGTTGTGTTCTACTTCAAGTCATCCAAGAAGTCAAACAATGGAACTGATGTGAATGCAGGCCAGATTCCTCAGCTGTTGTACAGAGTGGTAACACCTGAGAACCAGACACCAAACAGACAGACTGATCACTCAGAACCAGTTTACATCCTGAGTCGTGAATTTTCTCGTGCTGTCAGTAGAGTAAGTTATAACAAAGTAATGGTATAATGAAGTTCATAAAGTGTAACATAAAAGTTGTGCATGAGAATATTAATGCTTGTTTTCAGCATCTTTCCCATCTGAAAAGAAAATTTCATATAGTGTCTCAGAAATTGAGACTGGTTGATCATTTGATTGTATTGGTTGATTGATTGACTGATTGACCGATTGACTTATTGATTGATTGAACTATTTCAGATGTGTAGGTTATGTGGTATTGAATGGTAGGATGATTTGTGAGTGTAAGTTCGGACATTTAGCACTTTGATTTGGAAGTTCTTCAGAGATATTGTTTTCTTTTGAAAGTGCTGTGCTGATCAAGGTATAGTGCTTCTTAATATGTAAGTGCAATGGTGTTCAGAGACTAGAAAATTACAGGTGAACTCTGTTTATGTTATAAACATGTAATAACCATGTTTCATACTTAGAAATTTTGACTGAGCAAGTTGGTTTGAGTAGAATCCCTTGTGATTTGAATTGATACAAGTGACATACGCCCAATTAGTGAGAACACAGAAATGAAGGGGGCACAAACGTGGATGCCATGAAAGGAAAATAACGCAGACTGGAGAGAGTTTTATTCTCAAATACATTTTAATGTGAACAATTATATGCAGTAGCATGGAAATATATTGACTTAAGACCCATTGCAATGTGATGGTTTAAAAAATTTAACAGTTGGCCGAAGATGGCCAAGTAAGGCCAAAACATGTAGCAACTGATGTGATTTTAATGTTCTTATAAATTAAAGAGAGACTGTGAACAGTTTTAAGTTGCATTAAAGACAGAGATGAATGAGTGAGTGATATACCAATGTAACAGGATGCTCAAATATAATATTGTTGAATTGAGGAGCCATCCTTTTCGAATCTTAGCCTGTTCCTTGACTATCTTGACTGTTATTGTTTGTGGTTTTCCTCAGTTCCTCCAGGCAGATTTCAGAATAGTGCCTCATTTAAACCATGACAGCTTCCTTCCAAATCTTTGCAGTTCATTATTCATCCTGTTATTCAATGCTAGCATGAGCCATGGCAGTAGCATTAGATAATTCACAAACAGATAAACATAATAAACACTATATTAGAGGAAAACAATGACATAGATAAAGAAAGCCACAAAGAAACAATACANATTCTTATTAGACTTGTGTTTGATAATACACTTCTCTACAGCTCAAAGAAGTGAAGTCTAGAGAACAAGTTACCCTATTACAACTACATATAGTATATAAAGGCAGTCATTATATTTATGCTTTGCAGTGTTGAGTGAACTGAACCAAGACAAGGGGTGCTAATTCATCTTAATTAATGTAAACCTGTTAATCAGTACATTGCTTATTCTATTTGTCCAGAAGTATCTGTGATTTATATTTGTTTGCAAACTGTATATTCACTTTCAACAATGAATTATAATATATGATTAAAATAGCATTCTCACAATATTTTTGGACTTCTTGTTTGCCTGCTCTTACAAGGCAGTAGTGCATCTCCTTATACTAACTATTTTTTTTTTAATTCGCAAGTGGGGGTGGAGTCTAGCTGGGTCCACTTGGCCTGGCACCCACTGACTGGCCTATTGTACCTACCCCGGGTGATTATGATGATGGAAAAGTTGGTGGAATTAAGATTGG